CAAAGTCACTGGTGTCCTCAATGCTGACAGATATACATGAGGGACACTGTTTACTACTGTAAACAATGAACCAGAAAAAGAGGATGAATCACTATTTGTAGGCCAAGTATTCTTGAGGAGTAACTACAATTAAAACCCAGGAAAATAGCTTTGGAGAGCTGGCTCAGAGGTAAGAGCATGCACAGCTCTTGCAAGGGACCTGAGTTCAGTTCCCAGCACAGCAGGTGGCTCACAACCCCCTCCTCCAGCTGCAGGAAATCCAATTCTTTCTTTTGGACTCAAGCACTGTACATATGTGTGCACAATTACATACACAGAATTAAAAATCTAACAAAATTCAAGAAGAACTCTCAAAATGAGAGACTAAATGGGAGAAAAACTCCACAATGTGTGACACGTTCTTATGTGTATCTTGGAAGGCCTCTAGTCTTCCTTTAGGGCTTAAGTGGCTCAGGATGAGTTGGAACTACTAAACCAACTACTAAGGTAGTAACTTAAACTTTGAAAGGGACGAGAACAAAAGGCACCAATCTAATTCAGTTTTCTTATTTGCAGATGAAAAGTCTGAGAGCTTTAAAAAAAACACCTAATTATAATTATCTCTGGCAAAAAAATGCTTAGTGACATAACAGTTTTCAGAAAGGCAGGGTTCTTTGGACCAAGAAGCTTTAGAATTACAGTTTTCAGGGTAAATGTCCATTATTAGAGGAATGTGAACACAGCAAGTCATATACCTATGTTATGTTGACGTCATACCTCAAATCACTGCAGGGCAGACATAAAAGGAAGTTTTAATTACAAATTCTAGTGGATTTAATAATCATTTATGTTCTACCTAATGGGTATATCCAAAAGGCTCACCCATCTAATATACAAATATATATAGCTTCAAAAAAAATAAAAGATACTGAGCAGTTATTGCAAGCTGCCCAGTGCAGCACACGGTTCCAGCTGTTTTGGGTGTGTGTGTCAGGGACACCAGCAAAGCCATAGGAAAGCATTTCACTGGACTTCTATTCTGTTCCTTGAGGACTGGAAGCTCACTAACACAGGACTACTTTCTTTGCAGAAACCTGGATATTCTCTTTTCTGGGCAATCTAACTCCTTGTGAACAGGAACTAGAGTTGCACCAAGAAGCAGTCACAGCTCAAGTGTTTCCCAGAAATGCTGTCATAGAGATCCACCTGCCTCTGCACTCAATTAGGCTTGGTTCTCCTTAAGTTGAGCTGGTTAGAGACCCCAAAGATGCTGGTTCTGTGTGTTCACTTACTTCACAGGGGCTCGGGCATAAACCTGAAGCCAGTCAGGGATTTCTGCAGTATGATAAGGATTTGCAGGGACCAGGAGGGACTGATTCCTTTCAGTTTGCTGTGGCTGGTATGTGATGGGAGGAGGCTGATCATACCGGGGCACACTAAAAAGAAAGAATTGACATTTAATAAAACACAAGCCCTTCACCTAGGACAGAAGTATGATAACCAGACAGCTTTTACGGCTCTACCATGTGCTTTTTGGCCAAACTGACTATCTTCCACCCCTAAGAGAACTTTCTATGGTAAGGGTATTTTTTTTTTAATTATACTGTAAGGATATATACTCCATCTTGTTTTGGAAGCTGATATGCTGCTAGTGGCACATAAACACCCAAGTTGGGGGTGGGGAATTGGTAGAGATGGGTCAGGGGCAGCTCCCACTGTAGCCTGCCTTGAGCCCTGGGCCCGAGTCCCATCCCAGCACCTCCTTTCCCTTGTATATTCCTCAGCTCCTCTGGTGTCCAGTCCTTTGGCACAAAGCCTCCCTTGCCCACCCCCTGTACGCCCCCATCCCCCAGGTGCTCTCTGCATTCCCAACTCTAGCACTTCTCCTTTGGTTAGCAGTCAGGCCTGACCCACACACTAGTGGGATGTGTTGATAACTAGGTTGCTCCTGAGGAGGTGGGGTGGGTAGAGGGACTGGGTGCTAATTCCAGGGTTACCTGAGCCAAGAGGAAGCTTTTGTAGGAGTGAAACTAAGAGACCAAGGTGCCAGGATATGAGGATACCTCCTGCCCCATCCCCATCCCACATGCTCTGAGCTAAGATATGAAGGAAGAAATGACTAGGATACTCAATGGCTAACCAGACAGTACAGTTTAAAGAGAAAGAACCCATGGATACTTCCAGTGTATCACACAGAGCACTACAAGATACTGATAAAGGCAGGCCTCCACAGAAGGTGGTAGAAAGACTTGATAAAATGTTTCAGACAGGGTTGACAGCATATGTTGATCTTGATAAAAGAGCAATTGATGCTCTTGGAATTTAATGAAGAAAGTGATATCTATACTACAGCAACTCAAGGATGCACTGTCTCATGTGCATAAGCCCAAGGCAAGTCTTCTCCCACCATTTTATACAACAAAAGTGAATTTTTACATGGAGTTATGAAGACCTATAAGCAAAGAGAGAAACAGGACAAGGTCTAAGAGTCCACAAAGGTGTCCAATGAAGCAAAGACCAAGGGCTTGCTTGAGAGGATGGTTATACTCTGGATGTAACCACAGGACAGAGGAAATATGGTAGTTCTCCACCAGACAGTGTGTACTCAGGTGTACAACCTGGAATTGAAACAGAGGTCTTCATAGGAAAAATCCCAAATGACTTGTGGAAGAATGAGATGATCCCCTTTGTGAGAAGGTTGGTTATAGTGGGCAATTACCAATACGAAGTCAGGTAGAAATATAAGGGTATTTAATAGGGAAAAGCCTTACTTACAGAACGACCTAGTCAGCTGGCGTGGCAGCAGTCTGTCCAGCAAGTACCAAAGTGAAACCGAAAGAGAAAATGCAGTCACTCTATGTCACCCTGTAGCCAGCCCCTAAGTAGGCGTGGCTACAGCTTCCCCTACAGTTGGTCCTATCTGGGATCTATGTCTCATGATGGATCCACTCTGGTCAAAACAAAGGATATGCATTTATCACCTTCTGTGGAAAGGAAGCTGCCCAGGAAGCAGTTAAATTATGTGAGAGCTATGAAATTCGTCCTGACAAACACCTGATAGTGTGCATTTCTGTGGCAAACAACAGACCTTTTGTTGGCTCTGTTCCAAAGAATAAAACTAAAGAAAACATTCTGGCAGAGTTCAGTAAAGTCATAGGTTTAACAGAGGGTTTGGTGGAGGTTATTCTCTATCATCAATGTAACGACAAAAAATGAAGATCACAAGTCAGCAGTATAAGCCAGACGCTGGCTGACGAGTGGAAAAGTACAAGTGTGGGAAAATGCAGTTTCAGTTTGTGGCGGTTCTGGATAGGTATGGCCCCCATATTCTTATAGATTTGAGTGGTTGGGTACCAGGGAGAGATACTATAGGAGGTGTGGCTTTGTTGGAGGAAGTGTGTCACTAGTGGTGGGCTTTGAGATTTCAGAAGCTCAAGCCAGGCCCAGTGTCTCACTTCCTGCTGCCTGTGGATCCAGATGTAGAACATTCAGCTACCTCTCCAGTACCATGTCTGCCTGTACACCATCATGTTTCCTGCCATGATGATAATGGACTAAACCTCTGGACTGTAAGCCAGCTCCAGTTAAGATGCTTTCTTTTATAAGGTCATGGTGTTTCTTCACAGCAACAGGTACTACAATGACAGAAGAAATATTGGAAAAGTCATTGTAGTTTGGAAAGCTAGAGAGAGTGAAGAAGTCAAAAAATTATGCATTTCTCCATTTTGAAAACAGAAGAGCTGCTGTTGAGGCTAGGATGAAATGAATGGAAGAGAAACAGAAGGGAAAGGAATGAAATTGCCTAAGCTAAGCCACCAGACAGGAAAAGAGTGCCAAGCTGTTAGACAGGCCTCCAGAAGGACTATATAAGAAGATTATTCTAAATGAGATGTTGAGGTCATGGTAGGAGAGGTGAATATGGCTACACTCCAGATTACTACAGCTAAGAACGCTACTAAGGTGAGTACTTTGGTTATCATGGAGATTATGAGGACCCCTACTATGGCTATGGTGATGGCTATAAAGTGAGAGGAAGAGGGAGGAGAGGGTGAGTAAGGTGTTACACCACCATCAGGGGGGTGGGGAGCACCATGTCTACGAGGTAGAGCTAGCTTTTTATGATGGGGAGGCACATCTGGGACCACCAAGATGCTCAGGAGTGGCAGAGGGGGTCCTGTAGAACAGCAGAGAGACCAAAGTCTTTGTGGAGCTCAGAGCAATTGAGGGGGCAATGTAGGAGGCAAGAAAAAGTAGATAACTCCAGGTGTCATGAGGCCAATAACCAACAGAAGTGGGGTTCCTAACCCAGAGATCAGCAGCTGCCTCAACAAGGTGGTAACTATTTCCGCAACTGTAGTTACAATAATAACAACCAGGATATTTAGACGCAATAGTGGAAATAGACAAGTGAGGGCTTGAAAATAACATTGGCCAAAATATGGTTGGCTTGAGATCTACATTCTTCAAAATAAAATTGTCTTAACTGTTTCATATTTAAGTAGCAGTTTGTTGCCATTTGTATTCAGCTGAAGAACTCATCATTGTGTGTATACTCAAGGCTTTTACTGGGCTTGCAGAGTTCCCTTATTATGGGTAACAATGCTTTTATCATTCTAGGCTTCATTTTAGCTTCAAAATAATCTGTTAAATCAGAACTTTCGGTTTGGACAGTTCTAGTTTTCTGGATTTGGGACAGATTTCATAGGCGTATAATGTATGCTGTAAATAAAAGTACAAGCTAGTGCTTTGTCTTAGTAGTCTTAAGAAATTAAAGCAAACAGACTAAAGGTTTTTTGTATTGAAAATAAGCTATGATTATATATTCAGCATTCCTAGAAGCAAGTTAACTATGTTTTTAAATTGTTACAATTTCACACCTTTTTGAAATCTGCCCTACAAAATTTGTTTGGCTTATATGTCAAAGCCATGACAATTTGTTCTTTGATGTGATTGTATTTTCATGTGAAATTTTAATAAAACTCAAAAATCTATTTAAAAAAAAAAAACAAAAAAAAAAAGCCATGTTGTATGAAAGGAGAGGTTAGCACTTCCCTTGTCAAGGATGGAAGAGGCCCTTGGGCCTAACAACACACCTACAGTTAGGCATTGCCACCTACTCCGTGGCATCTAACCACTGTTTTTGAGAGGATGTGGAGAAAAAGGTGGGAGTGCAAATTTGTAAGACCACTTTGGAAATCAGTAGGGCAGTTGCTCAGAAAAATGGGAATCAGTCTACCTCAAGATCCAGCAATTCCTCTCTTGGGCATATAACCAAATAATGCACATTCATACAAGGACATTATGTTCAACCATGTTCATAGCAGCATTGTTTGTAATAGCCAGAAACCGGAAGCAACTTGGATGCCCCTCAACTGAAGAATAGATAGAGAAAATGTGGTACATTTATACAATGGAGTACTACTCAGCAGAAAAAGGCAAAGAAATCTTGAAATTCGAAGGCAAATGGATGGAACTAAAAGAAACTATCCTGAGTGAGGTAACCCAGTCACAAAAAGACAAATATGGTATGTACTCACTCATATATGGATTTTAGACATAGAGCAAAGGATTACCAGCCTACAATCCTCTTCACCAAAGGAACTAGGAAACAAGAAGGACTCTTAAGGGAAAAATGCAAGGACCCCAGAGAATGGGAAGGGGCAGGATCTCCTGAGCTAATTGGGAGCATGAGGGTAAGGAAGAGGGAGCTGCCAAAATGAGAGGAGGAGAAAAGGAGGGGAGAGGAGGAAATGGAGGAGCAGAAATGTTGAGTTGGGGGAAGAAAGGAGGAGAGCAGGATGAAAGATACCATATTAGAGGAAGCCATTATAGGTCCAAGGAGAGATCTGGCACTAGGGAGATTTCCAGAGACCTACAAAGATGACTCGAACTGACAATCTAGGCAATGGTGGAGAGGATACCCTAAAGACCCTTCCCCTATAATGAGATGATGACTACTTTATATGCCATCCTAGAGTCCTCATCCAGTGGCTGATGGAAGCAGAGGCAGACACCCACAGCTATACACTGAACTGTACTCTGGAACCCAGTTGCAGAGAGGGAGGAGTGAAGATCAAAGGGGTCGGGACCAGGCTGCTGAAACCCACAGAAACAGCTGGCCTGAACAAGGGGGAGCACATGGA